TACCGAAGACATTGAAATGATTCTTTTCCTGCTATTTTCATAGAGCAGCTGTTTCAACAAAGTAAAAACTTTTTTTATCAAAATAACAGTTGGTTGATTATTCGGGAGTCTAAGTTGATATTTTTTCAAAAATTGTATTCTTTGAAATTGAAAATAATCTCTCAATAATTGCGTTGGTTGCTGTAATCACATATGTCTATTTGGCTAAAAATGATGATACCGAAAACTGATTTTGTTTTTCTCTGCAACATGATAAAATATCAATATCATCATCTTCACAATAGTTATCTTACAATACTTGTATTTACATTTGAAGAAGGTAGCTTATGTTCCAACTCGGTATATAGCGAGACAAGTGGTCCATTTCTCATACTCTGTCCTATAGACTATGACAAACATGAGGGTGTTTAGGATTGGTACTTTTATTTTTTATTTTAAGATTAACGTAAAAGACACGTTTCTGTCGATCTCCGGTAAACGCTGTTAGAGACGGAGATAGACATATTGAAATGTATTTCACAATTTGTAATGCCTTACAAGATTATCCAGTACAATGTCCTTAGGTTTCTGACTAACTGCAATAGACACAGTGAAGTTTCTGTATCGTGAATAGAGTGGTTTCCAACGCATTTCATATATCAATCTCATAAATACTGCGCTGAAAGATTTTTAATTTTTTAAACACTTCCCTTTACTCTTTCAACTTATACAAAAAATGGTCTTCTTTATACGAAGAATCGAAAGTAACTGACAGCATTAAAGCGCAGAAGAACGATTTTCTCTTTTTCTCGTATACGTCCCATACGTGTGTACAGCTTTCATTTTTTCAAAGAGAAGAACAAGTGTACTTCAATGACTGTGTTGATATTCGATCAATATTTGTATAAAGTTGCTTGACAATTTCCATTTTCTCCGATTTTTGCCGCCTATCTGAATATCACTGAATGAATTCACAACAGAAAACAAGTCTAGACCAAATATGATCCTTTGTACATATAACATTTTATTAGTATTTATTTGTGTATTACGAAATCGATTGATTATGATCTCAGTTGGTTTTCAAACCGATGAAATACGTTACCAGAAGAAGATTTATTTTGCTTTAATTAAATGATTTGTTTGATCTTATTTTACTTCACTGTGTCATAATTCAAACAAAAAATGTCTCACTTAATTTTCATGATAACGATCTTCTCTTTATATTCATGCATATGCGAGATTTCCAGTTTTTGACGGCTGTATTGTTTCTAAGTAAGCGAAAAAAATAAGGAATGGTATTATTTTAACACAAGTACAATCAAAAACTAAAATTTAATATTTACTTTTTATATTAGCAAAAAAAATATTGTACAATACAGAATGAATAGTATCATTGTCATCATTATCTCTTTTTCTCTTCAACAAATTCATGTTCAATTCTCTTTACGTATGATTGCTTTTTCTATGTGTGATTGGTACATTTCATCACCTTTCTATCAATACTATACAAGCATGTGCTTGATGGGTTTGCTACAATTTATTATGTGAAAACACGAAATAGAGTTTACAGTCTTACGTTATGACCACTTTCTCGCCTAAATTTAATAGACAGTTAAATAAGTATAAAGAAAGAAGAAAGTTCATTGTATCATATAATACAAAAGTGCATCTTTTCCTTCATAATTAATTGTTATAACGACAGAACGAAGAAATAGCTTACTGCCATTGTCAATAACGATGTATATAGAGCTACTTCATGTCTTCAGAAAGTGTCTATCTCAGATTCAATACACGTTTGCACAAAAGAGAGATGAACACAGAAAAGAACAATAGAGAGACAGAGAAGGAACGAGAAAGTGATATCGATTTTCAGCACTATTGTCAGGTACGAATTATTAAATCGCAATTTCGAAAAAATAGCAACAATTATTGAATTTATTCCATTATAGAATGTCTGCGTTGTTATTAATTTATTTTTCTAATTATTCTCTCCGAATACATAGTAAAGATTTTATTTTTTTATATATAGTAAGGATACAAAAGTAGACAGAAAAATGCTGTTTATTCCTTAGCGAGATTCATCAATTTATAAATAATAAAATTCATTAGATGTATAAAGTATATTAAAAATGGTTCTAATATTTTTTATATAATAACTTAATTTTAAATATAAATTCTGATAGTTGACATATAAATATAAAATAAAACCATAATGTAAAAAAACATAGTTTATTTTTTAATTTTTAAATATTCATGAATTATCCGTAGATAGGAACGATCAGAAAACAAAATTTTCTCAAAAAAAATGAGTTGTCTATTCGATTCTATCAAACTAATTTTATAGTCCGTAATAGAAATTTTTTTTATTTATATCAATATCTAAAGAAACTTCCAGAACAATTTAATATGATAGCACCGTGGAATATTTATTAATATATAGCTGATCACTTGATTATACGGTTTCGTTTGACTGAGCGATGAGTGAATCACATTGTATGCATTTGAATATAACTTTCCTTTTCATACTTTTCATTTTAGATTTATTTCAAATCAAGAAATGTGTAATTTTGCAACGCATCGTCGTACTCATGCTCCATAATAATCATCAAACACATTTTTAGAATGGATGCGGATGAATGCGACAACATTACACTCGATTAACATTAGAGAACTTTTCGTGACAAAAATTGGATATTATACGTCCTTATAAGTAAAAAAAAGACTAGTCATGTAGCATGTCTACGAAAGAAAAAGAACAGTATACACTATTGTACATTTTTTTTCGTACATACTCTTGCGTTCTTCATCAACATAGTTTGTTATTTGTCTCATAGCTCGCCAATAGTCAAAAAAGGTTATACTCCATTATTCGTCACAGTTGAGTTCACATTATGATGACGTACAAACGCTACATAGCACAACTCAACAATAGAATATAAAATGATAAATAGTATCACATCGATTCTCATTATAGTTGTGTGACTCGTTTGTATCGATTATTGCCATCTTCAATACGTAAGTGTAAAGCTATCAATCAATTCAGGTTATAGATGAATTATTACACTAGTGACCTAGGCACGTTTCAAAATTTTAATGAAAGTTTTTTTTTTTACCTCTCACGAAAAATGTCTAGGAAATACAAGTAATGAATTCCTCTATCCATGTTTGAATACCGAACATAAAAACGTACATTTTGGAGCTACTAAGATTCCTTAAAATACTGTAAAACAAAATAAGATAGTTTATCGAACGTGCTCAAAAGAAAAACTTTTTGAATTCCCTACAGTGTTGAACTTATCAAGGCTTCACAATTTCGTATGAAACCTAGAAGAGTTCTTTCCCAAACACAAGTGTTCAGTAAAAGATCTTAATTTTTTTTCTAGTGCGTATTATGTCCGAAATGATGATACGTGGATGAGGTCCTTCTCTTCATTCATATTTTCATTCTCATTGTATTGTGTATCCGCGTCAAATTAAAACCTCGTCGAGTCATAAAAACTTTACCCATATTAAACACTGAAAACAATACAATAAACTAAAAGCAATTTTGACAAGTGTATATAGACAAATGGAGAAGGTCATTGATGATGTACAGTAAATAATGAACAATATTGTATTAGTTATCAATCGTAGTATGTATATATATATGATTAATAAGAATTTGACCGTGACATTTTCGAATAAATATGTTACATAAAATATTTGATTAGATCAAACACAATTCTTAAGACACTGATTCCTCAAATTTTACTTGATTTTTTATTGCTGAAAAGATACGAGAAAAGTTTAGCAGATAAATTTACCATGTTATCAGTGATACTGATCGAGAAACAATTAGAATAGACTGAGAAATAAGATTAACTCATATAATGCTTAATCGTTTATTTGCATTTTTTCATTCTATTATCTTACAGTCGAGTCTATACACAGAATAGCATTAACGTTATTTATCCAGTAGCTCATTAGATAAGGAAATATAGTTGAAGTCATCATGCTGATAAAATAATTAATGTAAAAGTTCATTACATATAATAGTTCAATTTACACTATACCCACTAATAATCTACTAAAGGATTTTCATTCTAAATCATGACTTGTAGAATTATCCATGTTATTTTCTTCATATCTCACATACAATATCTATGATCATCTTTAGTAATGATGATAGCACAACTGCTACTGTTCAGAGAGAAGCTTCCGTAACATTGATTTTTATGATATTAAAGAAATATTTTCAAATCGCCTGAAATTTTAGAGATTATGCTAGGACTGGAACGAGGAAGATATGGTAACATTTTCAGCTGTATTGAATGACATTTGATAGAAACATTCACCAAACAAACAAAAACAAATCATGTCATGTATGAAAGATTCAGATCTCGAACTATTTTCCTACACATAAATCTTAATTTTACTGTTTTTGGACAAAAATTGACTTATATTAAGATGGGGAGAGATCTTCCTATAAGGATAAGCGCTAGTTCTCCGTCTAATATCACTACTTCTCTTGTTAGTTTTTTATTGTTTGTAGTTCTAATCAAGAGTTATATCGTCCAAACAAGTGTCGTGAGGGCCCATTGTAATTCATTTCATAATTATATGTATTCGATAATTGTATATTTTCGTCTGTCTATTTCTTGACTCGTACATCCTTATACGTTGGTATTATATTAGAGAGTACAAAACAATACAAATATAATCGAACCAAATACTGCATAAAAGCTCAAATAGGCATAAAAAACGCACATGAAAAAAAGTGAAATGTGATGATCATTTATCCTAGTAATATTAATACAAAAATATGAAAAAAGTGTACATCATTTTGATGAATAAATGTATGTGAATTTACGTGAATCTAGCTTGTATTTTATCTTCAATATATCAATTGAATTGAATGATTGTCAAGAAATTGCAACTATAAACTTCATTGTTGCTGACATTCATCCGTTTATATATTTATTAATTGTATTTAGTTCCTTTTTCAGATATAACTATCCAAGCAATCTGTAAAGAAGAAAACGATGGCAAGCAATAATAATAAGAATAGCGCAATAAGTCAATTTTTTCATGGAAAATCAGTGTTTATTACCGGCGCCACTGGTTTTATCGGGAAACAAATTATGGAAAAATTACTACGATCATGTCCAGGTTAATTAGCAGTATATTGTATATTAACTTTAGATATTCTTGTAATAGGAAACTATTTTCTGACTAAGATAATTGATTGTATATTCTTCTTCATAAAAAATATTTTGTTTGTCAATAAAGAAGATTTAGAATATAACAAAAAAAAAATGAATTTTAGGTATTGACAACATTTATATTCTCATACGATCAAAACGTGGTGCTCATGTTCATGAACGAGTTCAACAATTGTGTTCATTAGCTGTAAGTAATGTTGAAAATAATTTACAAATTAATTGTATTGTTTTTAGTTATTCGATAATGTTCGTTTGTTAACACCTAATTTTCAATCAAAAATAATTCCAATTATCGGTGATATAACAAAAGCTAATTTTGATTTGACTAATGAGGATGAACAAACATTAATCGAGCATTGTCATATTGTTATCAATTCTGGTGCATCAATTCGGTTTCATGAACCAATAAAGTGAATATCTCAAAAAGATTGAATAGAATAAATATTTTATTTCTTTATTTTAGACAATCAATTAAGGCAAATGTTTGTTCAGTTCAAAGCATGATTAATTTATGCAAAAAGATGAAATATCTACAGGTTAGAAGATTGCTTACTATTTCTGACATCTTGATAGAGGGGGAAAAAAAACCACTTTATCATTCTCAAGTAGAAAAAAGATTTTGTGTTTGATTTCAGTCATTGGTCCATATATCAACTGCCTATGTTCATTGTTATCGTGCAGATATTGATGAAGTTATTTATCCTATGGACGATAATTTAGATATGTTATTGGAATCTCTAGAACATTTTGATGATCATGTTTGTAATATTTTAACGGAGAAATTAACAAAAAAATACCCGAATACTTATTCATATACTAAATCCTTAGCAGAATATCTCTTATTGCAGCAAGGAAATGATTTGCCTATTGGTGAAATACATCCAATCCATTATTTTTTAAACATTTACTTTCTTTTACATCGATTTTAGCTATAATTCGACCATCAATTGTTGGCGCTGCATGGAAAGAACCAATACCAGTAAGTGTAGCATAACAATAATATAATTGTAGGAATGACTAACCTTTTATATTGTTGTTAGGGATGGATCGATTCTTATTCGGGTGCTACAAGCATAATGATCGCAGTAAGTTTGCTTTTTTTTTAAATCTATTTTTTGTACGATTTTGTTTTTTTATTGTATAGATTGGAAAAGGTTTTCTTCGAACAGGCTTTTCAAAACCGATAGTTGATAATTCAATGATACCAGTCGATGTTGTGGCTAATATGACTATAGTTATTGCATGGATTACTGCGACTAAAAATAATTTGTATATTTCATGACTAGCTGACAAATTATTCTTTTTCAATTATTCTTTTTAGAACATCAAAACTACCTGTTTACAATTGTGCTACAGGAACAAATACCAAAACATGTTTATCCTATGAAGATTTTTGTAAGTGTATTCGTATAATATTAATAATCAATGCAAACATAGATTATTTGTTTAGTTGAAACAATAGCAACAGAATCAACAGCTAGTGGATTTAACAAATATAGCATCATGCGGCCATCGGTTACAAGTACTATGAATAAGTATGTTTCATTTTTTTTGCGTATACTTATGTTTTCGATAGAGTCATGTATATTGAAAAATTTTCTCTGTGATCTCTATTCAAAAACATGTAGAAAAGTTTTCTCATAATTGTTCAGCTCATATTTGAATAGCATGCTCTGAAAAATCCAAACATTAGGTCAGCGATTGATGATCTATACAGAACATCGACTGAGAAGGGAATATACTACTAAAGAACTGTATTCGAGCCTCGACTCGATTAGACATGGAATGATTTTTGACAAGTCACTAACAGTTGTTTGTACTAAAACAACGATACAATAGTATACTGACTACGTAGTAACATACACCTTTGAGAAAGGTTGACCTTCTGTCTAGAGCTACAGCTATTAATAGTTGTAGAAAAATATTGAACTTTTAAAACTGTCTTCGGACAACATCCTATACTGTATGATAGTGGACAGACGGAATATCCTCCTTTCTTCTTCACATCAGTTCACTCCGCTCCGGGAGAATATGAAATAAGATGTCCAAAGATTTTATGATATTTCTCCATGCTCTGATCCTATACTGCTGTTCTTTTAAGAAAGCAGCTAGATTTCTAAAGTAATGATTAGTATTTGATTTGCTTAATTTAATATTATGAAAATGAAGTAGTAATTATGGCCAGTGTTCATGATGAAGAATATAGAGGTCAGATATAAGCTTGTAAACCATGATATTTTATGATTTGGATAGCTTATGATAACAATCGTATATATCTATGATTTTATACAGAGCAATACAAGTATATATGAAGTAATGTAAATCAAAACGGAAATTTTTTTTTTGAAGTCTCTGTCTACAAGAAAAGATCTTAAGCGATCGTTTTTTTTCTCTCTATATGACACGGTGATATACTATCATAATATTGAGTGATGTAAAACGTTGCATCTCTCCATATACGATGATTTATGAGCACTTTTGCTTTATCTATTTGCTTGAAAAATTAGTATAAAAAATTCGTCTCTGCAAGCAATTTATTGACAAGACAAAGTAATGACTGAATGAATTTTGAGCTCTTTGTTGGGTCTTTCATCAAGATTTTGTTTGTATAGGTATATGTTTGACTTAAAATTTTGTTGAGATTAATTAATTTAGGCCATATTATTGTTTTCTACGTTATACTCTTGAAGTTTTACCTGCATATATAATGGATATGATTGCTTACTTAATGTTCAAAAAGCCAAAGTAATCAATAAATTGCCAGTTGAAATTTCAATATATTCTCAATGAATTGATTTTTAGAATGGTAAAAATGGTTGGAAAAATCGAGAATTTAAAGCTTTCTCTGGAATATTTTACTCAAAATCAATGGATTTTTGCGAATCGAAATAGTCAATTGTTAAAAAATCAAATGAATGACTTTGATAGACAAGTAAATTATGCATATCACTATCATAGAATTTATCAATATTATTAATTTATTTCAGGAATTTAGTTTTGATTTAACCGAATTAGATTGGTCATCTTATATTCGAAATTATTGCATTGGAATAAAAAAATATTTACTTAAAGAAGATTTACAACAATCATGCATTAAAAAAACACATAAACATTCATTTATTACAGCAAAGTATGTATTATGTTCAATTACTTGTCACTGTTCAAATAAGTTTATTTTCAGAAAAATTCGTCATCTTCTATCAATATTCTTCTTTTTTGCTGTAACATGGCTCATGCGACAAACAGTGCTAAGAAGATTACGGTAAAAATAAACATTTGTTTACTTATTGTTTTCAAATAATAAAATATTATATTTAGAATAATATGGAGAACGTTAAATCTGGTTATTCGAAGTTATTTACAGCAAGATAAAAAGAAGATTATTTGTGCTCTTAAATAAAGTTATCTTTTGAATAGGGCAAAATCTTTTTTGTGCTTGTTTTTTCATATCCAATAAATATACTTCAAGCTTCATGCATTAGGTATGATAAATGTGAATCGCTAGAAAAAAATTATTATTATGTTGTAGCTACAATTTTTTTTATCAAATATTATCAAAGAAAAATTCAATATCGATTAGTTCTTAAAAAATTTCATCATTGAGCCTAGAATATCTAAAATAGACATAGAAACTGAACCAAATAACACTGATTTTGTCACTTATCAATGATGATTCGCACTTATTTAAATATTCAAGTAAATACTTAATTATAGACATTAACTAAACGCATTTAAATTATAAAGAATATCACATGGTGATTGACGATAAACTGTCAATGACATTGTAGTTTCATCACAAATACATCTAATTAAACTTTTGAAGTTTCCAAAGTTTCAATTGAATATTTCGACACTAGTTTGAGCTATCAATCTGCGGTTTTCATCAATGAAAGAAAAGACGTGGGAATATCTTTTTCTTCGATAATGTATAAGACGGAGTCCTTTTAAAACTAATCATCTTCGAAAAGCATGCAAAAGAATGCATGAAACGATCGACCATCTAGATGAAATTTCGATTTTCCACTCTGAATTAGATAAAGAGACTTCACATCTGTAGTTGTTGATACAATACAAATAGTTCTCTTATTACATTCAAAGGTTGAGCAAATGGAATCCTGCATTTACATGGCCAAATAATAGTGTATTTTACTGATTTTTTTTTTGTTAAGTTTTCGCACTGTTTAACATCCTAGCTCAAAATAGCGTCGAAATATTCAGAAAACACTGGAGACCATTTACGTCTGACGCCGACAGTAAATTGTGCATTTATGAGACGAAAATCAAAGATCATTATCGATACACGCCAGAAAAAAATATTGTAATTGTTATTGAGTGAAATATTGGTATATAATTTAGTATTATCATTTTTGAATCTTCAGTCATTGTTAGACATGTTATTCTTATATTTTGTCGCGGTGAATATGGTTTTCTGATTGAACAAACGAGAAAAGACAGACTTCCAACTTATGTTGATTGAAACCATTGCTATTCGAATGGTCCACACGCAAATCAATTCAATTATTCAATAGCAATGAAAATTTTCTATCAATAAATGGCAATAGATTAAATTAAAAAAACCCTAAGTTACAAAGTTGCATCTGTTCGAATCTTCAACAAAAATGATGCGAGTGCTCATGTGACAACAGCAAAAACGTGTTACAGATTCTGTTATCGCTAGCTAAAAAATCTTCGATTGTGTATTCAATGATCATTTGTCACAGAAACAACAACAACGAGAGATGCTAGAAGTCGAGTCAATAGAAAAAAGTTCGTGGCTTTAAAAAATTAACATTGAAATCTTATCAGAAACGTAAATTTTCATAAATTTCAATGATAGCTCGATAGAAGTCGTTTTTCTAATGTTGCTCGTGCTAATGAAGACCATCCAAAGTGATTGATTAGTACAATAATTAGAGAATGAATATACGTTCATCTTTTAAAACAAACGAAGATTTAACACATTTTTTTTTGAAAGTTTACCCTCGAATGATTTGCTTCAGCGTAAAAATCTTGGCTGATATGTACTGTGTAAAGTTATATAACATCACAACCGGATTATCTTTCGAAACAGACAAGTTCGACTCTTTATTCTGCTTGAGCTTGCTTGAATGTTAGTGATTGTGAATGATAATTTTGTAACAATATCAATGATAGCAATTCGTAATTTACTCATTGAATACGTTTAAATATAATCGACATATATTAATTTTTACAGAGAAATATTTTAGAAGTTAACATCTAGCGAAATATTGACTACAAAAATTTGACCATAGTACCATAATATAATAATGCCCAATATTTTTTCGTATATTTAGAGAACGAAAGCAACTACTTGTGTGCGAAAAATATAATTTTCGAATGCTAGCTTAACTATTTCTTTCTATATAAGTAAGACTGACTTCTCGAGCATATCCATTCAAAAGTGATGAGGTTTTTAATGAAAACTTTGAAATTGATTCATTGACCAACAGTCACTCTATTGAGTTTGGGCTATTTGATCAAGTTGAGTCGTGTAATGCTATGTGTTTTCTGTTTTGAAGTAAGATAGCCTTAAAAGGACAATATCTAAAAGATATTCTTTCTGTCATTCAAAGCTTTGTATAGAATGAATTACAAAAATCATTATATTGAAACTACAATTAATTGTTAGTATTCAACTGAACTTTATTGGATATTTCAACTTTAATAAAGGTTAGTTATTCTATATGAGAAAATCAAGATTTTATGTAGAGTGACAACCACTCGATTAGTGTTGAATAAAATACAATTAATCTTAATCTATAACCAGAATATACAGAAATTGTCAATTCATCAATTCCTCTTCATACATACTATAAACAGCAAGATACATTGTGCGATGATAAGTCATATAGATATAAGGATATTTTTAATTTTGTCTTTTATCTGTCTTCACTAAAACTCTTGAGATTATTGCAAAACTTACACAAATGAAATAATTATAGAGTTCGTTTCTATGCTTCTATTACTAAATAACAAGTCCTAATAGAAAAAGAAGTTATGCTATATAATCATATTAAAAATAGAACTCAGTGTCTTTTTTTATGTAAGCTCATCTATGATTAGTTTTGCTTTTGCCGAAAAAATAAATCAAAAAACAAAGTTAATAACCGTGTATTCTCAAATGTTCAGAATCTGAATACACTAGAAATTTACAAGTTTTTCTGACTTCCTTTTTATTAATCTTCGAATCTTACAGACTTTGTGAATTTCTGTCACTTTTTAGATATCGTCTGAATTTTGCAGATAATTCTTTGGATTCTTTGATCGATGAGAGTCTTCAAGAAAATCTATTACAACATGAGTCTGTAATTAACTTCTTCGTATGGTAAACAGTTAGTTGTATATAGTGCTGATCATTATCGACTAGTGATAGTTTCACTTTCACATAGAATCATCCATTGTGATGATGCTTTTTTGTGGTATAATATACGATTCTACACGAAAATGTTATGGATTTAGGGTGTGGGTGTCATTTCTCTCTTCACTCACATCACAGCCACCTCCGCCCCATATCCACACTCACACTCGCTTTTCCTTCCGACACTGTCAACATGTTGATCAAATCAATTCAAATGAGTAATCAACTTCAAAGTTAAACTTCGAATTTCCAACGTTTATGGCCGAAAAGATTCTGACCAAATTTTGATCAGCAATGGAAATAAATCGATGTTTTCTTCCAATTTTTCAGCACACGAAATTCTTCCCAAGGCTGTAGCTAAGAACCAATTCTTGAGTAGGGATCCAGCATGATATCGCCATAAAAACGGGCACAACAAAAAAATTCTCCTAGCTCTGCTGGGCAAAGTCGAAATGGATGACGGACGTTTTCTGCATAATTCGATCCATGTCAACAGCATTTTGGATTCGTCCAAAAATTTTACCATTTATATACTGAGAAATGATTATTTATTCATAAATGTCCTCTCGAAGACAAACATCCTGTTTTATAAGTTTGATCTTCTGATAAATTGCCAATTCGAATGAAATATCGATTCTGTGTCATCGATTGAAAAACTATTCGATCGATAAGAATGAGACAGGCAGCTGTTTTTTCCAAAATCGACAATTCAAAATTTTCGATTTCCACAACAGACACTATTTGCATTGATGTTGCTAGTCTAGTCCAATTTCAAGTTATTGGCTCGATGAAACTCAAATCTGGTATGATTTGTGCATGTCGATTTATTGAGATAAAGCTTTGCAAAAGGCAAAATATATGAAAAGTCAAGCAAACACAGAACATTGGTTCATAATGACAGTATAAAAGATGAGTGAGAAGAGGGAACACACGGGGACTAAATATTCGATACCACCGCTTCAAGAATCATTGCCCTCATAGTTCATGCTCGCAATTAACTTATATTCGTCTATCAGCAGTTCTTCCTTATTGTTAATCGTCATTCGGAATTTGAACGAAATGTTGTAGACACTCTCTGAAAAAAATCAGAAGAGCAGGAAAACATCGAATGAGGAAGGAAAAACGATCTGCTTTAGATGATGTCTCGTTTTGAATCAATCCTGCTACAAAAAGAGTTTATCCATTTCTTTTATCCAATTTTTAAATACTTTTTTCTTTCTGAATATAAAAGAGTGCAACGTGTACTCAAAATATTCTACTTATGTTCAAAGAAGAATAAGACTTGTTCTTTTTGACTACACAGTAAACAAAAAAGTAACAAATTTCGCGTCTGATCGTGACTGCGTAGGTTGCAACAAAAATTATGTTCGTTATTTTTTTTGGAATTGTATATTGCAGTCGCTATTTTTCTCAGTTCTCACAATTAGAACCGCCAGAAATGGCGTTTGACAGTGTTACAATCGCCAGAAAACACAAAAAATGATGTGAAACGCTATTTCTGGCAATTCTGACTGTGAAAATCGGGAGAAATAGTGACTGTAATAATTGAAGTTTCTATGAGATGGTGCACACACTTTATTTGGTTTCTTCACACTATGTAAGTCGCCCCATTCACATACAGAGCGCACGGTTATATAGGAGAGATAGAGAGAGAACAGCGGGCAAGCATAGCGATCATACAAGAAGAAAACGATCATAAGATCAATGCAGAGGAAGAAATGTGCGTGTGATACTCTCGGTCACAGTAATGAATGGCGAAAAAAAGCAGCACTCTGGTTTTTTTTCTTTCCTCTTTCCTCTCTTTTTTCTAAACGCCATGCATATGCACTTTTGCCGTTTTTTTTTTCTTTCCTACTTTCTCTCTTTTCTAAATGCCGTACATATGCACTTTGGTCGCTTTTTTCTTTCCTCTTTTCTCTCTTTTTTTTCTAAACGCCGTGCATATACACTTTTGTCTCTCTTTAGGCGCCCGTTCTGTATCTGTTACTCTACTCGCAGCTAATTCGCCCTTGTCTCTGGCA